ATATTTAGTATATTTGTATATTAAATATACATATTTAAATATAAATATATATATATAATTTATATATATATATATATATATATATCATGGCATGGCTGAAAATATGGCAGAATCTTCATCAATAGAGTTCATAAGAATATGAGGCTTTGCCAGTCCAGATTCCACCTCACAGTGATATTTATCAGCTCTCAAAAGTCCAGTAGTGGGGCTGGGAAGGTGGCTCAGTGGTAGAGTGTTTGCCTTGCATGCATGAGGCCCTGGGTTCGATTCCTCAGCACCATATAAGTAGAAAAAGTTGGAAGTGGTGCTGTGGCTCAAGTGGTAGAGTGCTAGCCTTGAGGAGAAGAGCTGAGGGACAGTGCCCAGGCCTAGAGTTCAGGCCCCACGACCAACAAAAAACAAAAACAAAACAAAAAATCCAGTGGTAAACCATGCACCAGTGGCTGGGCTTAGTACTTAACTAGTTTTGATGCTTCTATCAGTAACAAAGGTCTTCTCAGTCTCCCAGGCTGACATCCAAGCATCTAGTCTGTCACTAGGATTCTCTGAACCAGCTCAGGCTGCTTCACTACCCACTTGCCAATTTGTTTAAGTGATTACCTTGTAAGGACTTTGGAGGTGAACAGTGGGGTCACATGTGATAGTCATATTCCGCTGCAAAGACTCCAGGATCACAAGGCAGCTTGCAGTGGCTCATCTTATCAGCGTGGCAGAAGATGAGATGAAAAGAATAGTGAGGCAGGGTGGGGTTTAGGGAGGGTAGAGATAAAATGGTGGCTGCTTTAGCCTGCTAAGTTTGGAACTTAGCAAGAGATTGCTGGAGTTGTACTTCTGGTAAGAGGACAAGAGAGCAAACACCTTACTGCAATAGAGGGAAGTGCCAAGCAAGCCAAGAGGGAGCTATTGGCTTGCATTTGGCGCCCTCTGCAGGAACCACCAATAGATGCCTTTGATCTCTGCGAATGCTATTCATCTGAACTGGAAAATACCAAGTGGGGAGGAGCCTTGGAGATCATTACCCAGTGTTCTCAGCCTTGGACAGGGGAAACGGGGTGTGTAGATAAAGTGGCTTGTGTTAATAGCCCTACCCATCTCATCTCCTGGTGTCCACAACCTTCCCCGTTACAGGGCCAAGCCTCCCAATGAATGGAGGCTGAGCTGATCTTTCTTTGGCCAAGGATCCCTCCTTAGCAATTGTGACCAAAGCATTTGCTGTTTCCTTTCTCACCACTGGACTTCACCCTTGCAGTGACAGCATGCCTGGGCTAGGCTGCTGCAGGGTGAGACATGGCGCAAGTGTTGAGCTGGCTGGTGTGGGCTGGCAAAGCCACAACCAGATAACTGTGAGGGAAAACCCAGTCCTAACCACAGACTTGGGAGCAAAATAAATGCTTATTAAGCCATTGAGTTTGGGGCTAGTTTGTTACATAAACCATTATAGTAGCAGCAGTTAAGATACAACTTCCCTTAGGAGTGACAACTTTAATACTGAGGTGGCTAGAAGACTCCTGAACTAGCTGTCTTTATGTATGATTTTATTTAATCCACATTGAGTATCTATACACAGTGAAAAACTACTCACAGGTATGAAATATGTGGTGCCCATTCATATGCACACATTAGTTTCATGTTATCAAAGTTAAAAACAGACTTACGAAGTTCACAACTAAAGAAGCACCCATGGGACACACGAGAATTAAAAAGAACATAAACACTGCCCACTGGAGGTTCACAGTCTAGCAAGACTATAAACTGTCTTGGGAGCTAAGACCACAAACAATTTTTGTCCAATGTCCCACAGATTTTTCTTCTGCTAGTTTTATAGTTCTAGGTCTTACCTTTAAGTATTTGGTCCAGTTTGAGCTGGTCTTTGGAACTAGTGATATATGATAGGGATCTAGTGAAAGTGGATATACAATTTTTATGGCGTTTATTGAAAAAAATTGGCCATCGATATGTTGGTTTACTTTTTGTTTTTTTTTTTGTTTTTGTTTTTGTCAGTCATGGGGCTTGAACTCTGGACCTGGGCGCTTTCCCTGCACTCTTCAGCTCAAGGCGAGCGCTCTGCCGCTTGAGCCACAGCACCACTTCCAGTTTTCTAATGGTTTATTGGAGAAAAGAGTTTCAAGGACTTTCCTGCCTGGGCTGGCTTTGAACAGTGATTGTCAGGAGGCTGAGGCCTCCTGAGTAGCTAGATTTACAGGTGTGAGCCACCGACACCCAGCTGGCTCTTTTAATACTATCCCCAAGTTCACAGATTTTTTTCATTCTGCTTCATTTTACTGTTTTCCTCCTTCCAACTGTGTATTTTCAAATAGCCTGTCTTTGAGTTCAGTAATTCTTCTATTCCATCTATCACATTTTTTCATGTCTCTAAATCATGTCAGTTCCGTATTTTATTTTAAATTGTTCCATCTATGCTATATTTATGTTAGAATACCAAAACCTTTCTAAGTTCCCTGAGATTCTCCTATTGGTTTCTGCCTAGTTTCTGGCACCTTATGTTGAGTAGTAGGTAAGTCCCTGGTTCCCTGAAAGCTATTTATGCTTGTTGGAATGTGATGTCTAGGCACTGAAGGAACCAGAATTATTCAAGTCTTCCCAATCTGGGTTTGTGTATCTTTCCAGAGGTACTATGTGGGTTGTTTATTTTCTCTTAGTTTATAGTCACTGCACTTTTTTTGTTTTCCCCCTGGGGCTGGTCCTGGGGCTTGAACTCAGGGCCTGGGCCTGAGTTCAAGTTGTAGAGCACCTGAGCCACAGCTCCACTTTGGGCTTATGGGTGGCTAATTGGATATGAGTCTAATGGACTTCCTGCCTGGACCGGCTTTGACCATCATCCTCAGGTCTCAGCTTCCTGAGTAGCAAGGATTAGAGTCATGAACCATCAGAGCTTGGCACTTCTAATGGTGCCCAGGGCCATATTTGCCAAGATCCTGTTGGCATATTGTCACTAAATCTTCCACAGGTGTATTTTTCAGGGCTAGGGTAGACCCTGATGATTTGTGTGGTTACTGGCCGATAGATTCTGCCTGGCTTTGGGCAGGGTCATCATTGATGGGCTAGCCTGAGGCTCCCGTGTCACACAAGTGGCCACCAAAGCTACCAAGTATGTGACCACCTGAACTCAGTCCACCAAAACCAGCCAAATGCCTTATCAGAACTGAGGCAGACTCATGGTTCAAGAACACTTCAACTAGCTACACGTTAGTAGCTAGAAAAGAGGTATGAGAGACAAGGGCCACTACCATTGGAGTCCATAGTGGCACTGGAGCTGGCCCAAGTCTGACCTTCCCCTAGCAATTAAGTATGTTCTTGTATCATGCTGTGCTGCCCAAGGTATGGTAGTATTGGTGAAGGCAGACCCTTGGACACTTGGGCTTGATGCTAAATTCGATTGTGCCTGAGTTTCACAGTGTCAGGCACACTGAGGCCCGTGCCCCAGGTGGAAGTGACACATGGCAAAACAGCTATCTGCCTCATGGAGGTGCAAGCCTCTGCCTGGCATCAGGCAGTGCTGGAGCCCCATCTGAGAGACTGCTCTCATAGCAGCTGTGCTGCCTGAGCTTAAAGGTGAGACTCACAGCCATTCGGGGCCCTGCACATTCTTGGGAAGTGCTCCCTAGAACTACACAGGGCTAGAAGTGATGAAGTGCATGAGTCATTCTGTCACACAAGCACACAGGTCTCCAGCTGATGCCATAGCTGGTCTAGGTCTGTGAGCCTTGGTCTGTGTATAGGGTGTTCAGTTTCTACTGGTGCTGTCTTGCTATGGGGGAACCTGGTACTAGGCTCTGAGCCAAAGTCCTGCTACCTTTCATTTTGCCACCTGAGATTGAAGTCATTAGGTTTAATACAGTTCTCTCAATGAGCTGCTCAATTGGCCTTGTTGTAGAGGCTGTGGGGCTTTGCCTAGCACTGCGTTTCACTGCAGTGGGCCTAGGTGGGTTTCAAAGCCAGGTCTTAAATCTCTCCTCCTCCCCTAGCAGAAGGGGCCTCTCTCCCCCCTGGGCTGCTTGGAATTTGGAGACAATTACCCTGCAGCCAATTCTTTCCTGCCTGCCTTCTCCAAGGTTTTTTTTTTTTGCTTTGTCATACTAAAAGCAGATGGGATTTCACCTAAGATACTTAGCTCTTGTGCAGGTACTTGGGTGTATTAATTCACCATGGTGTGTGTCTGTGAGGGGAGACTGTCAAAGGATCTTAACTGCTACTTTGCTCCACCTCCCTAAAATCCATACCTTTTTGTTGTTGGTGGTTTGGGGCTTGAACTCTGGGCCTGGGTGCTGTCACTCAGCTCTTCAGCTCAAGGCGAGCACACTACCTCTTGAGCACTTTTGGTTTTTTGGTGGTTAATTGGAGATAAGAGTCTCACAGACATTCCTGCTCTGGCTGGCTTTGAACTGTGATCCTCAGATCTCAGCCTCCTGAGTAGCTAGGATTACAGGCGTGAGCCATCAAGCACCTGGCTAAAATTCATACCTTTTAAAGCTGAAATTTGTCCTATAGGTTTTATTTTGGGGGAATAAACTGAGGGCCTTTGGTTCTCTAGGCAAACACTCTAGCTCTTGAGCTATTCCTGCCACCTCCAGCTTGCTTTAAAAAGCTAGGATATTTTTTTTATCCATTGTGGGGCTTGAACTCTGGGCCTGGGCACTGTCCCTGAGCTCTTCAGCTCAAGGCAAGCACTCTACCACTTGCGCCACAGCACCACTTCTGTTTTTCTGGTGGTTTATTGGAGTCTCATAGACTTTCCTGCCTGGGCTAGCTCTGAACCATGATCCTCAGATCTCAGCCTCCTGAGCAGCTAGGATTACAGGATGTCACTGGCACTCCATGTATTTTGTAAACACCACGTTAAAATCAATTTAGCTAACTATGCTTAAGCACAAAGAATTCTTCAGAGAATCCTCTATTGTGCAGATTTCAAATAAGAAAAAAATTACACTAAGTATATTGAAAAAAATGACATTAAGCATATTGCTGACCTTCATTTTTATTTAAATATATATAGTGATCTTTTAGGAGAAACAATAACAAAAACAATACAGAGAAATATTTTACATAAATGTAAACATGCGTATCTACTTCATAATTAGGAAAAATGAACTTTTAGGCACAAGATTTCTTTGAAAATTGTTAAAGAATAAGACAATGAGCCTAAGACAAATATGAGGAACAAAAACACATTTCAGGGTTGGAGGCATGGCTCAGATGGTAGAGCACCAGCCAATGAGTGAAAGCATCAGATACCAACTTCAAGTCCTGGTCTTGGACAAAAAATAAAAATAAAAAATAAAAAACACAAAACAACAACACAAAAACATCTTTCACAGACATCAATTGGCCTTATCTTTCAATCTACTGGTTAAGGCCTGAGTTTCAGAAATCCATTCACCAAATGAAGATATCCAGTTGGCTGTACCTAATATATGCCCACAAGACAGACAAATATTTCTTTCAAAAAAGTGTAATAAATACGTCATTCTCTCTCACACCCACTACTGAATCAGCCTCTCAAATAGGGAAGTAAAGACTTTTAGAATTTCAAGTTTTCCTACTGCTAAAGCACAAAACACAGACACACACACGATTCTGCTACAGAAATGAGTAGCATTATTATAAATGGCTAGTTTGTGTTAGATGTCCCCAAATCATTCAGGTTTGAAATAAGGTTTGCCATGGCTTCTCAGACACTTCAGCTTGATGTTCCCTACTTGCCTAATGGCCCATGGAACAGCAGAATTCATCAAACAAAGGAAAAGCAATGGATGATTCCATTAGGGACTTCAGCATGGGTATTCCTAGCTATGGATACCTGGGATATTCTATGTCTATCCTCTGTACTTCACTGCCTCCTCCCCAACAGGCTACAATGGATGTCTAGTTCAGTGCTGACAGTGCTTTCTTTTAAGGACCCCATTCCAACAGAGCCAAGCAAGAGAAGGGTCAGTTTGGACACATAGGGCCCTGCACATGAGTTGAAACAAACAGGAGAGTCCATGAAGATAGAGCTTATAGAACCTCAGAAGCAAGGCTGGAAGTGCTGGGAACAGAGCAAGGAGAAATCTGTGAGGCCACATTCTGAGTTTCCAAGTTGAAGATTTCTTACTCTGGTGGAATGGGGCTAGAACCACCAAAATCATCTGGCAGAGAACAAAAATCAGAGCCATGCTTGACAATAACACCATGCATGCAGGGGTAGGTCAGATGGCAAGGAAGAGGGCTGATGCTCAGAGAGCTTGCTCAGTGCCACATCTAAGTATTTCCTTCAGAAATAAGCATCTCACCCAACATGCCAAAATCCACAGTTCTGTCTACACAATTAAAGGCTTTGGAGAAGAAAAGGGTATAAAAGAAGGGGCTGGGGCTTAAGCCGACATTTTTAGTTCAAGTTCCTGGACCCTGCCCCAGTGAGCAAGTTAAAAACAAAATAATTCTCACATCCAATAGCAATTCAAGTCTCCAATCCTGACTTTCACCTTCCCTGAGCTGTCACTAGCAAGGATTCTATAGCAGTTTTATCAGTTCACTATAAATAAGTTTCTACTTGTCTGCTCATGGACAATGGGCTGGGACCTCAATCACAAGGTTTTGGCACACATCTATCACCTGCACTGGAGCAGAATAACTGGAGCATGCTGTTGGGCAAATGGTTCCTTGCCAGACCTCCAGCTCACTGCAGTTACAATGAGGACAACATGTGGACCAAGAGGACAACTCTAAGGAAATCCCCCATCATGGACCATCCATTTTCTTTCTAGGTCCAGACCACTTCCTTCCATTAGTTCAGGAGGGAGCAGCCACATGAATGGAAGAAGACAATTCATTGTCTTGATGCTCACTAAAGCAGACAGATCTCCTTGTACATGTTCATTCACACAGAGAAAATAGGCTGCTGCACACAGATCACAGGCTGACGTAGCACATTCGCACGATACAGAACATTTACTAGTGACAAGTTTCCAGCAAGGACAGGTTCAGCTGGAAACTGCACCATAGAAGGCAATCTTGTGACATTCTTCTAGTTTTACATAAAAAAATACAGACCAGTCTGAGAATCAGGCACAGACAGGGGTACAAGAGCATAAACATAAAGACCTTATCCAAGAATGTATTCAATTCATATTGCGGAGCTCCTATCTAGATTTCCATTATGGAAAGCTTGCTGCTGGTTCATCTGTTCAGAAAGGTTTTTTTTTTTACCTTCTTGCTTCCACTCCTGCCCCTCAACTCCACCAAAACGTAGCAAACGGGGCAGATCCACGTGGAGCTAGCTGTAAGCCTCCACTGCATCCTGGGCATTAGCTGTGGTAATCTGCTCAGCAGCGTCTGTATGTAGGGATAATCTGGCTGAATCTAACTCTTGTTTTGGAATCTAATCTAAGTGCCAATGTACAACTACAAGTTCCAGGTATAAGAATTTTATTAAGTGAAATTCAAAGGAGGAAGCAGTGAAAACACCCTGGGGCCTGGGGGCAGGAGAGTGGCATGCACCAGCCGTGGGCTTCCCTTTCCTAGTTTTTCAATGAGGGATGGAGTGAGCACAGCTCCAGAGTCCCACCCGGTTGACCCAAGCATTCGAATGAAGTCCATGGCAACATGGGCTTGTCGTTCTGGGTCAGACACAACTTCCTAATCACTTGTGCCACCAACTTCAAGTGGCTTAGCAACTTCTATGTGTCTGAGGTTCCCTCGCCAAAGACTTCCATTTCACAGGTGCAGATCACTTGGCCAAACTAATGGCTGGTGAAGACATGGCATCCTGGTGACCCACACCAGGGTACCGTTGTCTTTTTTTCCACTAGCAATGTTAACCCAATAGAAATAGAATTCTGTTAGTTCTTCTATAGATCTACTTAAACTTTGAAAAGAGATTGTTCAAAAATTACATGAGAAAATCACCCATCACCAGCAAGTTAAAACTTGAATGTCTGAGAGGCCCAGGGCCTCCAACTCCTCCTATAGGCACTGATCCACCGAATTCTCCTTGTGGCGATGGACTCCATGCGAAAGTAGCCCGGTCTTGCAACACGTTAATGCACCAGAGAGAAGATTTCGAAAGATCCAGAGCTAGTCATCACTGTCACTGCCAGACTCGCTTAACTGCAAGTCATTTCCTACAAACAGAAAACAGAATGAAGCCAAAAGTAGAGGAACTACAGACCACTTCCTTGGTGACTCTGCTTTGGGGTCGTAGCCTGCTGTGTACTGACTTCTCTGCTTCCAGCTGCTTTGGCCATGGAGCCCACTAGATGGCTTTTCTGTAACAATTGTTCACTTGAAAAAGACTTTCTCATAATTCCTTGGCTTGACTGCTCAGCTATCACATTATATTAAGACCTTGCTAATTTAATTAAGGATGAAAATCAATTCAGCTCACTGGAAAAACTGGTACAGTCAACATTTTTAAAGAAATGCTATTTTTGGCATCTGCAAAGCACAGCAATAATAGTACTTATTAGGATACACTAAGGGAAGAGTAGGCTAGACAACTTTTAAATGTGTTAAAAGCAAGAAAATAATTATAAAGAACTAAAACACCATTTAGTATAGTTATACATACTGAGTTAAGAAAATATCATCTGCCACATTGGAAACAGTGTATTATGCTGATCCAACATCTCCTCTGAAACAGCTCTATCCACGACACTCATATTCTCTTAACCTCAAATCCAAACTATTGATCTTTACCAAGCTCATTTTATAGAATTTAGTAGTGAGTCAACATTTCAGGTAAATATAACAGAAACCCAATTGATACCATTTAGATTTAAAAACAAAAGTGAGTCGGGCACTCATGGCTCACGCCTGTAATATTAGCTACTTAGAAGGCTGAGATCTGAGGATCAAAGTTCAAAGCCAGATTGGGCAGGATATATCCATGAGATTCTTATCTTCAATTAGCCACATGTGTGCATGTATACACACACACACACACACACACACACACAC